AAAGCTGTTGAGCGAAGAGGCACGAAATCCCAAAGCATAGCCAAGGCTACTCCCACTCTCATACGGCGCGTAGGCCCCGCCTCTCAGCGCAAAAGTAGCATATATGCGTGGGTGGGGGTAGTAGGGCCGCGCGGCTCCCCCTCCATGGCGCGCTGGCGGGCTCCGCCCCGAATACCTCTGCCACCTACTTTGTTAACATGCGCTCCTAATACTTTATTCGATTTAAACGAAGTTTCTGACGCTGCGAAAACTGGCTTTTGCTTAACCTCTCATCTCTATATATGTACTTTTAACAATATTTATGTCCTTTGTGCATCTCCACAGATGCGTAATTAAATTTAAACTATTATTTAATTATAATATAACATTAAAATTACTCCAAATTTATTATGACAAATAAATAATTTACGTATAAGGCGCGGCAACATATTTCTTACGATAAAACATAATAAATACTGAAAATCGTTCGTTAATTATTATGTAATAATGTTCTAGAATGTTTTATTAATAAGGTCTTCTCGAGAAAGCATATATATATGCTTCGCATTAAAGGACACGTGAAATTGCTACTGTATAAAGGCATTTTTCTCGGAAAATTATCGCGCCTATACTGTCTCCCGTCGGCGGAGGATTTGGATGTTCCTCCTTTTCGTTATCATCCATGCAACAAATATTTTAAATTATTTTATCGTTAAATTCTTTTCAAGGTAGTATGAGACTAGCATTAAAGAATACAAGGATTGCAGATATATTGGTAATAATCCAGCGTGTTGCTTTTCGGAGCTTCGTCGAGCCGGTCGAGCTCCTATCAGATATCACATTGCGCTCCCGTCGGCACTTGGATAGACGTGGTGCGTAGTTTCTTTTTGAAAACGTGGACGTGGAGCGCTAGTGTACGGGGGAGATCGCCGGTCCCGCGCAAAAGGTCGGCGTGGCCGCTCTCACGCTTCTCTCTGGCCACGTCCTGTGTGCGGGAGCCAAGAGTTTCTGCTGCCGATCAGCCGATGTCAAAGTCGAATGCACTTTTGGATTCAGTTCCACGACGACAGGCGGCGGTGTCGCGGCGGCCAGTGTGCGGGTGTTGCGTTGTTATTTCTTGAAGAATAACAGTAATCGTCTTTCCATTTTTAGTCTTCGTCAGTACAAATTTTCGTTCGGTGACTCTAATACGCACGCTACGACGATGCTTCGTCTCGCTAAGGTCTTTTCGTTAACTACCAGAAACCTCAACAAGGCCGCGGAGACGCCCTTAGGATCCTGCGTCCTGACGTCCAGGTGAAGTGTGCCCGATCGTCGTCTCTTTTCGTTCGATTCGAACAACCTGTTGCTAATTGGAGCAAACTTCGAATTGTCGAAAAATCATATTTGTCCTCTGAAAAAAAAAAAAAGAAAAAATTGCCGATGGAATTCGAATCGCGTATGATTGAGACGCAATTTGTTACACGTGCGACGATAGTAAATATGTTTGTCATTGCACGCACATTTATTTACGAAATTTGTGTGTACGTGCGTCATATTTTCCTCGTCGCAATTGATATCTGTATTAAAAGATTGATGTATATATCGATCTTCGCAGTTCCGCGTTCGATATTTTTAGTTATAAGCGTGGTACATAATGCCTGACACGTGGACTTTGGACTGTGCCCCGTAGACACCGATTTGTCGAACATACTGCGTCATGAACGTTATGTATATTAATGTTTATCTATATTAACACGCAGTTATTTAAATACTTGATCCGTTTGTTATTGATGATCCCATCGCGGGTCTCAAGTTCATAGAGTCTAAACAATATGTAAAAATGGAAGACTGATAAAGCGACAATTATACAAGACAATTATAATACATTTCGCTGTCATGGAATATTCCTTTGCATAAGAAAAAAATAAAAAAATAAAAAAAATAGGAAAATCAATTTATGTAGCATATGTAATTTTGTACTGTGCAATACATATAACATCAAAGAATAAAACTTATCTTACAGAGAAATATATATAATATTATATATATTTCTTAAGATAAGTTTTATTCTTTGATGTTATATGTATTGCACAGTACAAGATTACATATGTTACATAAATTGATTTTCCTATTTATTTTATTTTTTTATTTTTTTCTTATGCAAAGGAATATTCCATGACAGCGAAATGTATTATAATTGTCTTGTATAATTGTCGCTTTATCAGTCTTCCATTTTTACATGTTTATATTACATATATATATATATATGTATATATAATATATAATATTGGAAGATGAGACATAAAATTAAGACACTTTAATAATTTAGTGATTTAACGATATCCCTTGAAACTACTATTTGTTTTCAAATAATTTATTTTATAATCATGGCCATTATTTGATGATACTGTAATGATACACAGATGTTTGGCAACCCAAGCGGCAGTGAAAGTCAAGGAAGAAAGGCCGCGAGAAAATGCCTCCGCGAAGGAATCTCAATCTTTTACCATGAATCTCTTCCGTGGCCAGCTGCAGCTGAGCCAGGTGTGTCCGTTCCCGGAACCTATGAATCCGGACCAAACTGACACGATAAAAATGCTTGTCGACCCTGTGGAAAAGTTCTACGAGGTAACCATCCTCTTAAAAAAAAAAAAGCACAATCGAAGTGCAAGACTAGACTTTTATCAAACGTGCTCTTTTTTTCTCCCTTGCAGGAAGTGAACGATGCCGCGAAAAACGATCAGAACGCGTATGTGGACGAGAAAACGGCAGCTGCTCTCTGGGACCTGGGAGGGTTCTCGCTGCAAGTGCCCACGGAATTCGGCGGACTGGGATTGACGAACACCCAGTACACGCGAATCGTCGAGATATGCGGCTATCACGATTTGGGCATCGGCATCACCCTGGGCGCGCATCAGAGCATAGGGTTCAAGGTAAAATTTTGCTTCTTGACATCTTCTCGACTTTGCTTCTTGACACGGGTTTCCCGATAGTATCGGTATCCATTATTGCAAACGTCATCTTTTTCAGGGTATACTTTTGTTCGGCACACCGGAACAGAAGGCCAAGTACCTGCCCAAAGTGAGTAGCGGCACGTACGCCGCGTTCTGCTTGACGGAACCGAGCTCCGGCTCCGACGCCGGTTCAATACGCTCGCGCGCCGTCAAATCCGCGGACGGGTCGCACTACGTTCTCAACGGCAGCAAGATTTGGATATCGAACGGCGGCATCGCCGATGTCATGACCGTGTTCGCGCAGGTGCCTATGAAGGATCCGAAGACGGGCGAGACGAAGGACAAGATAACCGCCTTCATCGTGGAGCGGGGATTCGGCGGTGTCACCAGCGGGCCACCCGAGAAGAAGATGGGCATCAAGTGCAGCAACACGGCCGCGATCTTCTTCGAGGACGTGAAGATCCCGGCGGAGAATGTTCTCGGCAAGGAGGGCGAAGGTTTTAAGGTAAAATCTCTCACAAGAGACTTACTTCTCGCGTCTCTTCGTATCACAAATATCCGCAGGTAGATCGAGAAATGTGTTTAATGCAATCTAGTTGTATACATAACGCATTACAATTTATTGTATTTAATACAATTTCTAATTCTCTTGCACTTCGCGAATTATTTATATGAGTTGGAATGCTACATTTACTTTATTCGCTTTCAGGTCGCAATGAACATCCTGAACAATGGTAGATTCGGTATGGCCGCGGCTCTTTCCGGCACCATGCGTTACTGCATCCACAAGGCCGTGAATCATGCAACGCAACGCGTACAGTTCGGTCGCACGTTAGACAATTACGGCACGATACAAGAAAAATTGGGGCGTATGTCTATATTGCATTACATCAGCGAGTCTCTCGCGTATATGGTTTCCGGCAACATGGATTGTGGAAGTCAGGATTATCATCTGGAAGCGGCTATTTCGAAGGTAGTTCTTTTACTCGATTAATTTTGTGTTATATAAAAATCTCTCTAACGCATCTTCAGTAAATAAGTATACAAACATATTTCATATCTTTGTTAAAAATATTAATGGAAAAATAATGGAAAGCTAATATAATTATTAATTTACATAGATTTTTTGAGTTACAAGGATACTGTTTTCTGACAGAAAGCTTCGTATTTTTATTTGATAGCAAGATAAAATTAATTAAAAAATAGCAATTAAATGATAACAAGTGAAATTAATTAAAAGTTGATTAAGATCTTTATCTCATCCAATTTTTTTCTCTCAGACAATTTTATTTTGTACTACAGAAGCTTTCGCATGGAAATGTAAATATAAGACTGTTAACAAACCGCGAATTACTTATTATTTATATATTACACGCCACGCGTTCTTTTTTTCATTGCAGTGTTTCGCGTCGGAGTCCGCATGGTGGGTGTGCAATGAAGCTATTCAGACCTTGGGAGGAATGGGTTTCATGACCGAGACCGGTCTAGAACGTGTGATGCGCGACTTGCGCATATTCCCGATCTTCGAGGGGACGAACGACATTTTGCGTTTGTTCGTGTCGCTCACTGGTATCCAATACGCCGGGAGCCATTTGAAGGAGTTGCAGAAGGCCTTCAAGAATCCTACCGCGAATTTAGGATTGATCGTCGAGGAAGCCACTAAGCGTGCAACCAGAGCAATCGGCTTGAAATCGCCGCCTACCTTCGGGAATTCGGTACATCCGAGATTGGCGGAAAGCGCCGCGCTTTGCTCGAAGGTGAGAATAGTAATTTTGAACGTAGGTTGGATTTTTTTTCAATTAAATACAAATGAGTTTGTGTAAAAAAAAATTTATAATTGCAGAGCGTGGAGAACTTTGGCCACGTTATAGAGTCCTGTCTTATTAAATACGGACGAGGCATCGTAGACGAGCAATTTATCCTCAACAGGATCACGCAGGCCGCCTTCGATACGTATACAATGGCGGTTGTCCTAAGCAGGGCGACCATGGCGCTGAACAAGAATCTGCCTAGCGCAGAGCACGAGTTGTTGATGGCACAAACTTGGTGCGCGGAGGTACGCATATATTTATTAATTACTCTTTATTAAAATCCTAGCAGTATCAACTACCTACTCGCTGTAACTGTTGTTCATAAATTTCCTAAACTTAATGAATAAATACACAGGTAATATATGTAATTTAACATAAAAAATATTTTTGAGATAATTGACTAGGAATAGTTTTTTTTATATAAATATTACTTGATCCTGCTAGCGATAATGTGAATACACGATTTATTATCTAATTGCTACGCGCGGTTACTTAATGCATTATTTATCGTTTTAGGCGTCCAGCCGCGCTGCGTATAATCTACAGCAGGTCGGCTCCGCCAAGCAATTAGACATCTTTAGTAAATTGAGTAAAATTTCGAAGAACTTGTGCGACGTCGGTGGTTGCGTACAATCAAATCCATTGGGCTTTTAAGACATGATAAATTTACGTTGCGAAAAACTATGTCCAATCTTGAGTTTATCTTCCATTGCGCTAGACATAAAAGATAACAATAGAAATTGTTCTTCATGTAATAAGGAAAAATTTTAATTATTTCATTTTTTCAATATTTTAACTTTGCAATTTATAGAAATAAAAAAATGTAAATAGTACAAATGTAAAGTAACTTTGCGATTGACTGTATATATTTTCCGCGAAAGCTACGCGCGAACAAGCAATGAACAATGCAAATATTAAATTTAATAAGGTGTAAAGCATAAGGTGTGTATCTAAAGGTATATATAAAAAATTATGTATTTTTTAATATCTCTTTATACCTCTTTACACGAAACACGGCGATTCCAAGATGTGTACAGCTATACAAATAATGCGATCTATTTGACTTTTTTTTTCTTAAGATGCTGTTTATTCATTTTATATATCCATAAGTTTTCGTTAAAATAATAAAAATAATTTTAATAAATCACACCATGTTAAGTCGTCTTTTACACAATAAATTAAATGAAAGACTTTAAATGGGAGAAGTGTAACCGTCTTACGGCATATACATATATATGTATCTTATCTTATACATTTAAAAATATTTTAATTTAATATTATCGCAGCTGCTCTCTTTTCCCACTTAAAGAAACTCTCCTCCTGCATATGGGACACGTGAAAGAAATGTATATCAAACAGGAAGCTACAATCAATTATCAATAACTGATCGCTCGTTTCATTTTTCTAATCGTTAAATGCACAATTTAACAATATCACAATTATGCGAATATAAAGATGCACAATTTTTTTTTTTTCATCATCGTACCTTATCAGTTCATAATGACAGTGGAAGCACACTGAATGTCCATATATATTATATAGAATTCCATATCTTATTCTTTTTTTTTGCAAGGTGTACAACATACCGTACATAAGATTAATGTAATGTAGAATGAAAATCGAGGCGAGAAGAAACATGAAGCGCTGCGCGCAGCATCCGCACACAACGTTATCGCATTACTCGAGTTTGAGAATCAAATTACCTTACGGATTTCTCTCGCAGTCTCGTTCAGTTCTTACGGACTCGCTCACTTGTAATAAAATCGCGAATTATCGAGAATTCCATTTCTGTGCGATGTAACAAAATTCGTTAAGTAAAACAAACTTCTTAAACACGTGGCTTCTTCATTTTAGGCGATAACTCCGGCGAAGTGAAAAATTCGTTGTCTATTGGAATTAAATAATGCAGTTATTAATTCGTCTTTTTTTTTTTAATTCAACAATGTAGGGGAAAGACATGATAAGAGTTATACATGTGCGATTAAAATATGGCTCCATTTAAACGTGTGACTAATCAACATATAATTCTAAAAATTCGCAAAAAAGATCTCGCTGTACAAACTGTAAAAATAATAATGTTAACGGGTTCGTAATCCTTTTTCGTCTTGAAGGATGGACAGATACACGTGAAAATTGCAAATTCACTGAGTTTCAATGAACTTTGAGATCTCACTCAAATTTTCACAGTGGCAGTGCTTTGCTCGAATTCTCACGACAACAACGGCGTTTCCCGCTGTGGGGAGTTTCGCTTTCCGAAGAGCCGCTTTGATTCTCAAACTCGATGCCGAGCTTGAACACATGAACGAGCGTTCGAATAAATCAGCAAGTTTTACCTCGAAATGACTTACACATGACACGAAACTAACGCGAAAAAGGTCTCGATTATTTCTCTACGTGCAAAGGCGACATGTCGGGCGAGGGAGGCGGGGTTTCTTTTTTTTTATTTTTTTTTTTACCTACGAACGTTGATAGATATCGTAACAATGGCTGCAATTTTTGTAACTTTTGAGAAAAATAGAACATCTGACTATCTTTTTTTTTGTTATACGTGTTCGTTACTCCAGGTATGATAATTTTACGCGTCGAAGGGGGCAAGAGAGACCAAAGAACCACCCGTGCATCCTTCTGCGGATTCCGTGCGGATTACCGGTGGTGGTGGTGTTGCATTGCCGCTCTCATCGTCTCTTAAATCTACTAAGTTACCGTTGTGCTCGCGTAAACGCTAAAAAGTATCGGAAAGAAACGGTCGAGAAAACACACGCAAGACAGAACGTGATGATTATGGAGACCCCGCTCGTTAGCGGACTTGGGAAGTTACCGCCGCTCGTGCCTGAGGCGAGACCGCCAATATCACGTGTGCGTTGTGCATGTCGTCCATACACCGCGATACAATATCACTGCGGAAACTATTCCAATCCGGGTAGGCCGTCAGACTCCAGAAAAGCGATCAATGCCCCTTTACTGATGCTCAGTTAACGATCCCGGCGGTCACGCCTCGTTTCCCCGCGACGGTAAAGTCCGAGCTCCGCACTCACGAGGTCTGCACTCTTTATATCTCTACAAAAAGGATGATTCGAATGTCTCGTTAAAAGCTTACAATTTATCTCCTCCAGTATTACCCTTGAATACAACATGCGTCACCCTGATATTCCTCAATATGAAAATAAATCTTTGTCGATCCCTCACTATACCGATATATACGTGGCCTGCTTAAGTGCAACAATACTCTTCGTATTGGTGTTGAAAAGAAGCGGAATACTGTGCTATAGCGTAAGCGTCTTTCTCGTGTCGTTAAAAAAAAAAAAAAAAACGGTCGGATTTCTTATATCGAAGAACATCGGCACGCGTTTTCCTTTTCTATTTTTCTTTGCTTCGCAGTCGGTTCGCAAGCAAAGATTACGGAGTTTAATACCTACGAGCGAACGAAGGAAATGAATGAAACGAATGCGTATCGCCGACTCCGGTTTCAGGCTGATGCTCGCAAACGCGCGGTATACCTGATCGCACGTCGATCCTTTCGCAAGAGCACCACGCTCAACACTTAAAGTCTTACTTTCGTTGCACACATTTTTTGCTTTTATTATCGTAAGTAATCACTCAATATATATAATATATATATATTTCTTTCTCTCTCCGCGCGGCTCGCAAGACACGCGCGCCTGTACGAAACTGACCTTATACGCTTGTAGCGCTTAAACCGTAATACTAATCGCCTTATCACGATTCAATAATTCGTAACTCTCTAACATATAATACACACTCACACACACAAGGATCGGGTCGCGCGCGCGCGTAAGGAATAATTTTACACCGTATCTCAAATATATCGTTAATATATGTATTAAGACTTTCTGTAGAATCGAAGTTCTATGTACGAATGTTTTTTTTTTTTTTCCAGAAAAATATCTCTGTATTTGCGGCGAATGGATTAAAAATATAGATCCGCGCCTTTTTAGCTGTACTTTCCACTACGTCTTTCTAGCCTTTTTTTCCCTCGTCGGAGAGACTTTTTTCTCTACCTGCACAGCGAAAATTTACGCGCGAAAATCGTAGAAGAACGCAGATAAAAAGAGCAGGCTTATTGCAGGATCTTTGCACGAAATTATTCTCTTCACAACCAACACGGGCTCTACAACTTTTGTTTATTAAAACAAAAAAAAATTATAATACTCGGATAACAAGCGAGATGGTGAAAACGTGATAAATCAAATTGTTGGATCCTCAATGATAATATTTCGTAATATAATAAATTACTCTGCGCACTGCGCCGCAACTATACAACAACAGCGATCTATATAATAATTATAATAACGACCGTAAAACTTTATACACAAATCTGTAATGAAGAGCGAGACGATTTTTTGCAAGGAGTAGAATCGTTTATACATCACACATTATTAATTCAGATACGTCGCTAAATTAGAATGACTGGAAATATTCGTCTGCGAAAGGACGCCAGAACTTGTCCGACCGCCGTTCGTATTCAGCTATTTCGCGTACGTATCTCGCACGATTCGATTCGTCGCAATCGCAAAATCTCCCTCTCTCTCTCGTTGCAGTGTGCTCGTTTAAATGACTCGTGACGCGTTACAATAAGAAAAAAACGAGGAATATACTCGAGAAGCTTATTATAAAAATGATTACGACGAGATGTTTCTGTGGACGAAACGGTAGAAGCATTTTTAATCTCGAGGACACTATTTCCCCCGTGGACTATCTCTCGACTTGTCGATTAATCGAGATGTGTACTTAAGCGCAAATCTGAGAAAATTGTTAAAACTTCCGCTGCTCGATCGGAAGGGGAGGGGGGAGGGGGGAATCGTATTACGTAACCTTACGAGGGCTCGCGCCGAGCCCGTTAATTACATGACGTCATTACCTGGAGTAACTCGCGAGGGAGACACAGAGAGAAGGGAGTCAGGCGGCGGATACGCCTAACCCTGTGCTATAGACAGATTTTTAAACGTTTGTCCGTTCCAAGCGACGGCGATGCAGTAGTGCTGGAGCAGCTGGGTGAGGAGCTCTCGTTCGTCCAGCATCTCTATATGCTCGATTCGACTACGATCCATTACAGGCAGTGAATCATAAACATCCACCATCGTCCACGCGCACGTGCCCTCCCAATTGTTTATGGTAAAGCTGCAACAGTTGCGGAATTGAATTGTCAGACGTGTCGTTTGTTGACGGATCAACGAGGATACGCTGCCGAGGGGAGAGTCGAAGGGCACCTACCGTCTCTGTTGAGTCTCTAACGACTCGCAGTCCTCCACGCCCGCTAATAAGCACCCACGGCTGCGGAGGTTCGACAGCATGACCTGGCCGAATTTGTCCTTCATGTTCACCTGTTCGTAGCTGACGAAAAGGCTGTTCGGGAACTTGCCCGCCAGCCATTTCAATAGCGACGAGGTTGCGCTAGCGTCTACGTACACTAGAACACATTCTGCGAGGAACATAGTAGGTAAATTGAAATTGACTTCGGCCTGGGCCAATTTGTTATTTAGCTCCGCTATGTGTCGCAGATCTGTACCAACCAGATGATAGTTCGCCGCGTGCAGGTCGGTGGTCGAAAATCGGATTTCTCCGTCTGAAAAGTACAACACGCGGTTGTAACGTATGAAAGAAATGCAAGTGCGGGGGCGAAGGTGACGAGAGTTATAACCGGCCGTGCGGATAGAATACCTTCGGTGTTTAGCATATCGATTAATTGCTTGTGCTTCTTGATGTGATAACATTTCTTCGCGGTTATGCTGGGAAAGTCGAGCTCCACGAAGTTCCCGGGGCTGTTCCCTGCCTCCCTGAGTCTCCAATAAAGAGTGTCAAAACCAGCACCCAAGTTTATGATCTGACCTTTACCGCCGGAAAGCTGCGTAAATAGAAAAATTTATCCTTGAGACTTGATGATATTAAGAGTATAACAATATATGACTATTTTTTAATCCTATATAATGTATAACGTGTAATTTATAGAGTGTTTCTTTCACTTTCTTGTGCTTTATAAATACACACAAAGAGAGAGTATTTTAATAACATTTTTCCAATACTTTCCAATTATAAAATTAATATTCTTCGAATTTTTAAATAATTATATTAGACATTACGTACAATAGAAAGAAATATATTGAAGTTTTGCTTTTCCTAAAAATTTGGAAACCATGCCTGTCAAGACAGAATAGAAGAGAGAATATTTTAATAACATTTTTCCAATACTTTCCAATTATAAAATTAATATTCTTCGAATTTTTAAATAATTATATTAGACATTACGTATAACAGAAAGAAATATATTGAAGTTTTGCTTCTCCTAAAAATTTGGAAACCATGCCTATCAAGACAGAATGTTAATAATTGGTAATAATTTAGTTAAAAAAATAACAATGAAAGAACGCGTCTTTTCGTTTAATTAAACCTAACTATTCTTGCCTAACTATTTTAGAAAGAAAAATAAATTTCACGAATGCAGATGTTTGCGATTCGAAATAAAATAATTGTACCATACATACAATAAATTGAAAAGGAGAACCAATTTTATTTAATGAAAAACGCTATTGTTAATTTTAGCCGAACAGACTAGAGCTACATTCGCACTGCAGAAGATAATTGATTTTTCGTTTTTATGCTCACAAGAGCTCTCTCTATATATTATATATATGTCGCATATGTATATATATATATATATATCGCAGTGGTTTAGCAGCGCTCGAGCAAAGTAACTTGGAAGCGGAAAACGCAGGCGGCCGCTTTTATACGCAACCGGACGGAATATTTTTGTCGCGCTATAACGGGCAAATTCCGCACCGCGTGCGCGGCCGGTGCCAGCACGGAAATGAGGCGCGAGAGCCGCACGCGCCGCGCGTTTTTCATTGACCTATATATCGGGCTAGCCATCCGTCGCGATAGAGAAGCGGGGAATCTCACGGGAATTAGGACAGGGCCTCGGCCGCCAGCGCGGGTCAAGGTTTCCGCCACGGCACGTCCCTGCCGCCCGGATCAGCTGTATTCCCCCTCCTCTTGCCCCTCGCGGTCGCTCTCATGCTTCCACTCCCTCTCTTTCTATATTTCTCTCTCTCTCTCACCCCCCCCCTCCCGGCATCGCGATTGTTTCCGATTCGCGTTCTAGGTTCTAGGTTATACCCGCCGCGAGCGGGACCGTTTCTTAGCTGCACTCTCCTGCCCCTTCCGCGTTCGCGCGCGCGCGAGAGAGAGAGAGAGAGAGGAGACCCATGCACCCTGCGCTTTTCACATCCGGGAACGAGCGGATGTACCATACGAAAACACGGGGAGCGGAGAACGCGAACGAGACGACCGGGCCGTAAAGTCAACACGTACATCCACCACGACGAGAGGCGGGAAGAGACGCGGAGGGTGCAGAAGGTGCAGCGAGAGGGACTGTCGCACGGGGTGTCGCGTTTCGAGCGACGATGGGTGACCGTCGTTCCCATCGGCGGTCACGGTCCTCGTGGGACAGGACGGATGTTTACGTGAGACAAAACGGAGATAGGGGGGAGGGGATGAAGACGGCGAAGCCCGGAGGAAGAGTCGAAGGGAAGCCCCCCGCGGGGGGAGGGAAGGGGAGGGATCCCGACGACGCGCGTGGCGCCGACCGCTCTCTCACCTTGAGGAACTTCTCGACGAAGAGCTCGATGCCCTTGACTCTGGCGTAGTAGCCGCGATTGATCTCGGGCGCCTTCCGGGCGGTCTGCTTGACGAACAGGCTGATGAACGGGTCGCACCAGTAGCCGAGCTGCACCGCGTAACGCTTGCACTCGCTGGCGTCGTCGTTGGTGGCCTGTATGGCCTCATCGTCCGCCATATCCTTGATCATCCCACCGGCGCCGGGGACAGTGGCGGGTTGCCGCACCGCGCTCGCTCTCACCCTATCTTTTCTCCCTTCTCTGTCTCTCTCTCTCTCTTACCCTCGCGCGCGTACACTCACGACGCACACGCACACTTTCAATTCTCCCTCTCTTTCTCTCAGCTGCTACCTCTCAGATGGGCACGAGCATTCCTATCACACGCGCGAGACCCGCGCGGAGACACCCCGGGGATGATGATGCAGCGCTCGAGCGAACCGTCGCGTATCTGTCACTCGCGGCGCACCACTGCGCCACCGGCGGCCATTGCTGCCCCCCGGCGGTGCTGCACCCGGCCTACACCTGCGCGCTCCGCCGGAGCGCAGGAGCGGCGCAACGGCGAACGTACTGAACGTTTCTCTTTAATTTTAAAAATATCCTCATCTCTAAAATAATTCTCTTTGTTGAGGTTTGATTCTTGAATATCCGTACGTCCGGCCTCCTTTTGCGTCTTTTTACGCACATAACAAAACTGGCACTAAAACCACTGTACGTTCAGAAACATAATTTTTCATTAATAATTTATATATACGACCTGAGTTTTTAAATAATTATTTATATACGTTACGCTTCCGTGCATCCGATAATCGAATATTTAGCCGAGTTAATATTTATTTATCCTGTACTTAAGGCATTATCGGTTGCCATTTACTTATTAAAGTGTTTTATATTTTTGTTGAAATAAATAAAATGTTTTATTTATTCTTAATTTGTATGCAAGCGCGTTTGAATCACTAAAAAGAAGCTCTTCACCTTTTTTTGAATATCTTCGAAGACTAATAAAGAAACATTCCTGATTTTCTCTTTAATTAATATCCTTATCTAAAATAATTCTGTCTTGAAATTTAATTCTTTAAATTAAATATTCGTACGTCCATTTAATCGACCTCCTCTTGCGTCTTTTTACGCGTATAACAAAACTGGCACTAAAACCATTATACGTTCAGATACATAATTTTTCATTAATAATTTATATATACGACCTGAGTTTTTAAATAATTATTTATATACGTTACGCTTCCGTGCATCCGATACTCGAATATTTAGACGAGTTAATATTTATTTATCCTGTACTTAAGGCATTATCGATTGCTATTTACTAAAGTGTTTTCTTATTGAAATAAATAAAATGTTTTATTTATTCTTAATTTGTATGCAAGAGTGTTTGAGTCACTAAAAAGGACCTCTTCATCTTTTTTCGAATATCTTCGAAGACTAATAAAGAAACATTCCTGATTTTCTCTTTAATTAATATCCTTATCTAAAATAATTGAAATTTAATTCTTTAAATTAAATATCCGTACGTCCATTTAATCGGCCTCGTCTTTTTACGCATGTAACAAAATATAACAAAACTGGAACTAAAGCCATTATATTTATATAATTTTTCATTAATTTATACCTGACGAAACTTTTTAATAATTAGTATACGTTTCTCATTGACGACACGTGTTTTATTGGCGATAAGTCTTGTTACAAATCTTACACACTGCGTCTTTGGAGTACCTCCTACAACTTACTTCCTGCGAACGCATCGGCAAAAATTTTATTTCATCATCATTATTAAAAAGCTTTCAGTTGCGTTATATATATATACTATGTTGCAGCGAGTTGCGTGGTTCTTTCAAAAGATCGGGAGTGATATTTAATATTTATTCATGATACTTTTCGAAAGAACCGTTTGATCGCTTAAATCTAAATTAGAGTAAGAAATTTATTATTTGTACATACATTTAGAGAAGAACATTTCTTTTTAAAAATATCAACGATCGAGTAAAAATACACACGAGGAAAAATATAATTTAATATATAATATATATGAGTATACAAAAAGATGAGCCGCTCAGATTTCTCATGTATAATATCTCTGTTGCCGTTCTCGCAGCGTTTGTATTGCTTATATTGCTCTCGTTGCCCGTAATAAATTAGTATTGCTTTTTCTCTCTCTCTCTCTCTTTCTCTCCGTCTGTCTCTCGTTTCCTGATGAAATCACAATAATTGATTCCGCGAGACAAGCGGACCTTCCTTTAATTCATTCACCGTCTCACACGATCGATGCGGATGTGCGCGCGATGGCAGGATACTTCGTGCATTATTGCGGCCGCGTGCACGCACACACGTGTACATACATACACGATGTACTGTATATACGATGCGCGTAAATAAAACATAGATCTCTCTCTCTCTCTTTCTCCTCTCTCGACGGTGATGTCATACGACATCGATGCGAAAAACGTCTCGCAGCGGGGAGCTCGCGATCCTGACATCGCGCTCGATTCGCGTATAAGGGCTTCGGAAAAAGACTTCGCAACAGAATCAATCACAGCTGCCGATTCCCACCTTCCTTTTTTTTTTCTTAGCGACAGCGCTCTATCAGACTTGTCGAAGCGGATAAACAAATATATAAAATGCTCGCTCGCGATAAGACACACTCGAGCGCGCGTTGCCGAGGGTGAGGCACGGGCTCGTCGTTTCAGGATGCGCGAGATCCTTGACCTCTCCCGAGCAACGTCGACTCGAGGAAACGGTAATTGCACGAGTGCGATATCTAACAAGATAGATAGGAACAAACCATAGGGGGAGAAGCGAGTATATCGTTAATTAAAAAAAAAAAAGAGAGGAAAGGGGAACGAAAAGGAAAAGACAAGTGGAGTAACGCGCGACTCGGATAAATACGAATTATTTGTCGTCGATTAAACTTGATTAAACTCTCGGTATCGCGCCCGATACCCCCGCGGCGAACGCGGTATCGAGGCTCATAACGGCGATATAGAAACTCTCGCGGGATGTAAGTATATATATATTAAAAGTATCAAAAAAAGGGGAAAAAAACCGTAACAGACTAGCGAGTGTGATCTTCTAAACGCGATTCTTTAATCCTTTCGAGAGAGAGCGTTCGGACTAAATATCGCGGCAATCTTCGTGTCTAATTCTAGCAAACGTCGCTGATTCATGAGTTTCATACAGGGAATCTTTTATCTCAGGAAAAACCGAGTAAAAAAAAAAAGAGTATGCGCGAAAATACTTAGTCTTCTGAGAACGCGGAGTCTCGAAAGGATTGAAGTTCTCCTCGTAAGACCTCGATGTACACTTGATGCTTGGCGCGAACATTTTGCGGGAACATCCTGCGGTCTCTCGGACTCCTGGACTGTTCGAGACCGTCGACCTCCCGCGATCAGATTACTCTTCCGCCTCGGGCTTCTTGCCGGTCGTTCCCTTCGCGTTCGCGCCCTTCGTCTTCCGCTTGGGCGGGACGGGCGCGTCGACGCCGCCGGCGCCGGCCGACGGCGGCGGCGGCGGCGTCTCCGGCACGCTTGTGTCGGTCTCCAGGGTCTTCGCGCCGGCGATCTTCTTCGTTGTCTTCACGGTCTTCTTCGCCTTGCTCTGCGAGCCGTCCGCGGTGGCGGTGGCGGCGGCGGCGGCGCCCTCCGTCGCGGCCGAAGGCGCCGCCTCGTCGGGCTTCGCCTTCGGTTTCTTCGTCACCTTCTTCACCGTCTTCTTCCCCGCCTTCTTGTCCGCGCCCTCCCCGTCGGCGCCGTCCGCCGAGTCGGACTTCTTCAGGCTCCTCCTCGCGCCCGCCGCCTCCTCCATCTCCTGCGCGCTCTCCACGGACGGACTGATGGGTGGCGTGGCCTCGGTCACCGTCGGCGTCGACGGCACGTTTACCGGTTTCGCTTCAATGGGTTCTTCCGCCGGTGGTGGACTCCGCTCGGCGACCGGCGATTCCGGAACTTCGCTCGCTGTTGCCGCTGCTTTCGCTACCTCGGCTTGCTCGGTGTTAGACGCTGTTATTTCAGCCTGCGCGATTGTTTTCGCTTCCGTTGTCTCGGCTTTCGCAGCTTGCTCTGCAGACTTTTCTTCCACAGCTCCCGTCTTCATAATCTGTTCTGGAGGTTTCGTTTCTGCCAATTCTGTTCTAGCAATTTGTTCTCCTAATTGTTCCACAGACGACGCTGCTAAAGGTATCACACTGCTACTGATTAATATCTTTTCTTCAGTAACCGGTGGTATCTCCGACGGCAGATCTTTGGTCGTAATCTCGCTGCCACTCGCTGGTTCCTTGGCCGCTTCAGGAGGAGCATCAGTCTTTTCCGGTAGACCGGGAATTGCAGCCGTCGCGACATCGTCGCGTCTCTCGATCTCGCAAGCCGATCCATTCAACTGAACAGATTCCATCGGGGTCGGCGCAGAAATGACATCCGTGGATGACTCGTGCACGGCCGTGACCGTCGTGGCGATCGCTTGATCGCTCACGGCCACAGCCGCGCCCAGCACGGACTCCTTGGGCTCGGCCTGGAGAACCGATTCCGCCACCTGAATAGGCACGGGACTCACGGTGGAGATCTCGGAAGCCGCCAGCAGCATCTCCGCGTGCCGCTCGCCCGGGTCTATCGTGAGAAGCTGCGTTACGTCGGACATGGACTCGATTACACGTTTCGCGATGTCCTCTACTGGCGCTTGACTCGTTATAGGAGAAGTCGCAGCAATGTCCATGCTAATCAGAGCTGCAGGCTGCGTTACGTCTTGAGCAACGGAAGCTGGGGTCTCCGGCTTGGCTTCGGTAGGCGCTGCCTCGCTACCGCCAATTTGCGCAACCGGCGTAGCTGCTTTTTGCACAGGCAAGTCGCAGACCAAGGGGCATGTTTGCGAATCAGCTTGCTGGGGTTCTTTCGCTTCGAGGAGAAGACTCGCGACTTGAGGCGCCGCTTCCTGCGTCGCTTGCGGGGGGCTCACGAGCTGGCACTGCTCCGCAGTCGTTCCCGCAGCGGCTAGCGGTTCTGCCGGCGGCTGCGGCGAAGGCACTTCAGCGCAGATATCGCACGGTTTCACATCCCTCGGTTCCGCGGTCGGTTTCGCACAAGCGTCTCCCGATTGTATCGGCTCGCTGGATACTTTCGTTGCGGCAGCTTCCGCCGTGACGCTCTCCTCGGAGAGTAACGCGGCGGATATTTTCTGCTCGAGAATTTGTGCCGTCGAGAGCTTCTCCTCTTTCGGAAGTTCGCATACTAGACATTGCGTTGGATCCTTGTCTGCTTCAACTGGACGGAGAAAGGGCGGAGAAGTGACAGATATAAATACGGGATCAAACAATTATACGGAAAGAACTATTGTAATAGAAAAATTAAGTGAAGAAATCGTGCAAAATTCTATACGGTGAATAGAGACCGTTTTTTTTTCTATTAATTTAAAATAGAAGTAAAATCATCGTTTAATACAGAAAAAATCGCGTATTTATAGACGTTAAGTCTCGTAGTTTTAGGCAAAATAGGCGGTGACTGATGATGACGATGAGAAAATTCGATTCTGTTCCAACGTACCGAAATGTGCCACGAGTTTGAACAGTACAATGTGCGGGTAAACGTGTGAATAAACAGCCATTAATAATAATACACATTTGGCAAACCAAAATGTATGCGAATACACATGTCAACTATAAATAACGCTCATGTGCTCGTTGTTAACATAAAGCAAATAAAGCGTAATGGGAATACATAGCTTCATATATCGCACATACAATGCATGACAATTTGTTCGAAGAATGAATGAAAGCCGAGATTATCTCTCGCAGCGCGGGTTAAAGAAGCAATATTCCGCAAAATGTTTCATTCATTAGTAAAATAACTACGATTCATAAAGGCGTGCTGTTCATACAGAAGCAAGAAGTAACAATTTTCTAAGTATTCGTATTAGATTGTACCTCACACATTTTGTTCGTATTACACATTTTATTTTACACTTCGATTGTACGCAGAGTTTCAAAAGTATGTTGAAGGTGTGTATAGTTCGCAAGATTTAAAGATGCAACATTTCAAAAGAAATTTTTATTCAAGCTATGAAGAATTTTTAACATAAAATAAAATAAAAAGACAATTTTAACTTTTTTAATAAAAAGTATAACAAAGAAGTAGCTAAAAACTTTAAAATCTAACGTTACCGATTCAATGATTTTAGACTGTATCACTTTACATAATTCCGTCGTCTAAAGTATAGGATAAAAAAAGAAAGTAACGTCAGAACGTGATGTTTCGTGTGTGAGTACATAAAATATTTACCCCATTAAAGCAAAACGACAATACAAGACGCAGCAATGCTATGGCGCCAGGATCTGTTAGTTGCTGTCCTCTGTTCCTGTTTCACAAACACTCAAACTAGATAAATTGACATTAACAAGAGTATATTCGTTTCCGCTCGAAATATCACAATGAATTCGCGTTTAATAAGCGTGTCGATTTTTAATCGTTTCCTCACTCGACGTCTTCAAATTTAAATTTATGAAACTGATTATCGCATGCTGTATTAAGTATTAACGAAAAAAACAAACAAAAAAAAACGCAAAGCGTACTCGAGGAAACAGTTAATGGCTTTGCATCGTGAGCACATTGAATTATTTCAATAAAATATATCTCGCATTTCTTTGATTATTTCGATTGGTTAACAAGTGCTTGTCGAACCAAATATCGTGTCGTTATTTCAGTTACTGTGAATGCATATAAAATATTTTAACTTACAATTTATACCTACTAGTTCGGACTCGTAAATGCGCTTTGATTTTAATTATTGATTACGATTTTATTTATTTACGGTAACGCGATTTCACGTGTGAGCGAGACGTACCGGCTGGTTTATCCACTTTGACATCTGCAGGTATTTCAGCAGTCTCTTTAACAGCAGCCTCTTTCGCAGGACTCTCTTTTACGGCAGACTCCAAAGTAGCGGTATCCTACGAATATTCATGACGTGATATGAATTATTCATTACGACTTCTTTTCAGACCCAACTGTTTATAGTGATCAAAATAACTGTGTAACATTTTTTAGATCCAACTGTTTAGTGATCAAAATAATTGTGCGACGATATTTTAATTATTATGATATGAGCATAATGAGCTACGATAATTTCTAAGCTCGCCCGTCACGATAAATACGCTATTTGATATTAAATTACCTCTTTAGGCGGAGATGGCTCGCGTTCCGGCGCGAGGGAGAGCGTCTCGCAGATCTTCTTCCAAATGTTCTCGAAGCTGTCGCGACCCATGTAATCGATCTGCCCGTGTTCCCAGCTCTGCTTCCTCATGTGCTCCTCCAGGGCTATCTGCTCGGCGCTCCTCGCTTCGCCCAGCGTCATTTGAGCCAGAGCACCGGCGATACCGGCCTGTGCAATTAATAAACAATATCCTTCATTTCAAATCGTTCGAAGAATCGATTAATGTGAAAATGACAGCATGAGTCACGACAAAACACACGAGCCTTTCAAGCCATTTTATCTCGTCTGCATTCCTCAAGACAAATCACGTATATATACAAAGCTGGTGCTACATGGAGAACATTTAAAAACAGGACGAATGTAATGTGGAAGTAATACGGGTTAGTGCACACAAAGATAAATTGACAAATTTGTTAGGTTTTCCAGAAAATGAACGGAATTATTTATATTCACAATCGGGACCCACTATGGAATGAAAGTTCGTATACATAATAAACAAGTGACAAAACGAGATGACTTTGAATTTGTATATCACATGTAGATATTCCCAATAAAAGTGCAAGTAATGTCCCAAGCATTGTCGAAATAAATGAATACACGGATGACACAATGCACCATGTAATCGTAAGAGAAAAGTTGCTTTTACAGCAGCGTAATTATAATGCATTCTATCTTCTTTAGCGAAATGAAGCGGATATATTCTCAGAAGTATGTACGGAAGCGTACAGCGATAATAGATATATTCGAATCGAATTTAGAAAAAAAAAAAAGGATATGGGAACAATTACTTACATTTGCATTGTCTAGATGTTCCGTTACATTCGGGTCAGATCGCGTGGCTACATTGTGGAGATCTGTACAAGGTGCGGGAGAGGGGGGAGGGAAATCGATTCTCCGCGTGTCTGTCTGCGTATTCGCAGCTTCCGACGACCGCTCGCTATCCTTCTCGTTGCATCGCCAACAATGAGACGCGAAGCTGTCACGAGCGTCTTGATTACTAGTACGTTGCGCATGAGACTCATTATGGGGAACGGTATGGTCCGCGTTTTGACGACTAGCTTGACTACTACTAGCGTGATGCGGCGCGTAATTCTCGTGCCCCACTTCGGCAGACTGAACCGGTTGATGCTGATGATGATCATCCGCTTTGCTTCTGTGACAATCGTGCTGATGAAATTGCTGGTGATGCTCGCTATGATGTTGTCTCTGCTCGTTGTAATGCTGCTGCTGCTGCTGCTCGTTATGGTGCCTCTGCTCGTGATGCTGATGCTGCTCGTGATGCTGATGCTGCTCGTGATGATGTCTCCGTTCGACCCACGGTTCATTATGCTGTTCAACATGGGAGCTTTGCTCGCTGTGTTGCTGCCAGTGATGATGTTCAGTGTGCTGTAAATAATGCTCTTGATTGCGATTCTCTTCAGAATGAGAAGTCATCGCGTGTTCCTGGCGTTGATCGTACGTTTGAACAGGCGTGTAAGAGGAATGCTGTTGCTCGTAGTGAAATTGTTGATTGTGTGCGAGTTGGGGCGCGCTACGGTCACTTTGACGGACAGCATCCGCTTCATTCTCGTATTTAACACCGCAGTAACAATTGTCGCTCGGTGCGCTATTGTCGGTCGGAAACGAATCGTTCCGCGGGGAGTACTCCTCCCAGGGATCTTTAAATTCCGAAAAATCCGGCATCCGAGAGCTGTACGTGTTGCAATTCGTCGCGTCGTCGGAGTAATCGGAGATCTCGGGGAAAGGGGGTACATAGGACGGGGGAGCAAATGCGTGCCAAATTGGAGCCAATGTGCTGCTGGCCTATGCAAGCATCATGCCAAAAAAAAACAGAAAAATGCACACTCGATCGGTTAGTACTGAACTAAGTGTTTGGCAGTGTCCATTTTTCTTACAGCGTTACGTTTTTTCCATATTACACGGTTTTCGACATTACACGGTATAGGCAACAATGTTATTTTATCGTAAATAAAATAACGTTTGTGGTGTATTATAGCTTTAAAACGCCATACGAATAACATTCATGCTCGACCCATCCATTACAGATATTACGAATAATGCAATTAAATGCTATTATATATAGCGACCGAATGAAATTTTTACACGAGTTATTTAGTGTATGAGTTAGAAAGAACAGAGATCAAAGAAAAAAAATAGACACTGGTTTAATACTAGAAAAATACATCTCTGTGAACCATTAAAAAAAAAGTTTGACAAGATGTAATTAAATGCTCATTTATTGCATGTTTATTGCTCCTATCCATTCGCAAAAAATTAATATCAAAAGTGGAGGTGCTCAACGTAACGTGAAATTAGCGTGTCAAACTTTTTTTTTATTAGTGAAAGTACTAAGCTCACAGAGATAAAAATCCGTTATATTAATAGCTGCATTATTCGTTTAGTAAATTTTTATGGGATAAAAAAGTGCATACATAAATTCTCCCTCATAGCGTATACTGAAAATATATTTTAAAAATTACATTAAAATGCAGCTATTAATATATATGCACTATATAAAATATGTACAAAGAAAAGGCAAAATCAAGAATATATCTTGAATCCCATAAATATGATATTAAGGAATTCTTTCTAGAAAATCCTGAGTTCAAAATATATTTAAAAAAATTTACACACTTTATATTTATCATATAAAAATATGCAGCGAAAAAAAACTATATTGTCAAACGCTACCACTTTGCAAGCTTTCATACAGCATTAAAAAATGCAAGCAATCCGAAAAATTTCAAATTTGTATAGATACATTTATAAAAATTATAAAAAAATACAAACTCGATGCAACTCTGATTTGATATTTGCCAATAAGAATTTTAAAAAAATTTGTGATAATAGAAACTCTCAGAATTACATCGCAATTTTTCATCAAATGTGTGACACAATAATTACATCCTATTTATTTCAAATAATAATACTAAAATATGGAAAAATCTATTGGAAAACTACAAGCAGTAGAGACACGCATGTGTAAGAATATCTTACCCTCGTTTTATTTATAATTGAATTTAAGTGCTCTCTGCTTTGCTTGCAAAATAAATGTATATAAGTATAAGAAAGAGAAATTGCAGCATTATTAATTTTTGCAGCCAAATGCATAAGTATAAAATGAGTAAAAACATGTTATTTACATCAACATGGACAAGAAAGATCTCTCTTTATTAGAAGTATAAAATTTAGTAAAAAAAAAAAATAGATATTCACTTCGAGTGCCAGTTTAGAAAAATCATTCGTTATTTTAGCATATTAAATGCATACTGTTCTAAAACGAATTGTTGAATTTAAGCTTACCATGGAGGGCGACAATTGGGGATGCACTCGCTCGCAGAATATGCTCCACCATAGTTGCAACAGCGGTTGCAAGTGTGATGCTCCCGGTGGTGGCTGGACGGTACCGGTCAGGGTATCGAAATACTGTAACCACGGTTTCGTTATGCCGATAAAGTGTATTATTCTCACGTCGTCGCCGAATCTAGGATGTAAATTGAAAATTATTAGAATACGCAGGAAGATTCGATCGTAACCGTGGAAGCCGAAAGAGCGCGAGTGCTTACTGTTTAAATGCGGGAAGATAGGAGTACGTCGCGGTGGAACACATGTTGTAGATGAACGGCAGATGCTTGGATATGTCCTTGGTGGCCCAGTCGCTGAAGTACATGTTCAATAGGCCTTGATCGCCGCCATCGAACGAGCCCTTGGCGGCGGCGAACGCGGTGATTGACGCGAACGTTTGCTGAGACGGTCTGAATACAAATACGCCGGAATTAAAGCAGTCAGGCCAGCCGACATCGGGCGCGGCCGATAGCTCCTCTCGCTCGAATAACTCATCGCAATTTCGTACCACCTGAAAACGTTAAACATGTCTACAGTGACATGATAGTTTCTCTTATAACAGTTTTGACTCTAACACTTTTATACTGTATTTTTTTTATTATTTGAATAATATATAACTCGCGTTTTAAACATAATTTTAAACGTAAACACAACAGAAAATAGAATAATGGAATTAAAAGTTTTAATTACAAATGCAATTTCAAATTTAATTTTAGTTTTAGACGTAAAAATAATTATAAAATAAAAAGTGTATATCAAATATATTTTGTTACTCACAAGAGTGTCTGCATCAACGAATACACACTTCTCGTACTGAGTTAGCCTCCAGCAGTGCAACTTGGTAAAAGTGATGCCCAATTCTGGTCTAGCCAGCAAGGCCAGATTCGTCTCGTCCTTCGAGTCGAGAACATTGACTTCCTGCACCAAGGAGAATACTGCCGCTAATTTTTCCCTGTACGCAAAAAAAAGAACGTTGTTCGATTATACATTGCAATTAAAATGATCAATGTCATTACGATCGAAACATTTTATAAAATTGCAGGACGTTGATTGCTATAACATATTTTCTTAATATTACTGATGCTTTAAAATTAAAAAGCTTGAAGGAGCAACACGCTAACTTAAATATTGCTAACTTAGCATAACACGCGATTCTGATCTCTGTTGACTAATATATCTTTCATGAATTTTATTAAATAAAACATAAATAACAAATTTTCTTAAATAAACAGACAAAACTAATCCTACCAAACTTGAAATGACTTTCATAAAAAGTTCAAATTTTTCTCGTAGTAACAATCGAATGCCGAATAAGTCACACGAATGTTGCAAATGTGAGAAGTTTGTTTTCAATTTTCCCTACACGACTTAGCATGCTGCTAAGCAACGTATTGCCCTCCGGTAATCGCTGTGTTGAGCAAGGACGATACCTCATGTTCGCCGTAACTCCGGGAGTGATCAGACAGGCCAGGTCGTGCTTGGTGCCGACCCGGCGTAGAGAGTGCGCCAGGACCAGTGCTCCCAGGGAGTAGGCATCGTTCGTAGCCAGTGTAACCCATGCATATCCTGAAAGATGAAGAAAGACCCGATAAAACACTTGACGTTTGAGGCATTTGCTTTTTCTATCAGACGCACCCAAGCCGAATCTATTTTAGATCCGGCGAAGCTGACGTTCAAATCTACATCGCTGCATCCACTGGATGCGTCCGGAACACGCGAATATAAATGCGCGCACGATATGGATATGGGATAATGTCGTCCAAGGCTACCCCGACGAATCTTGAAATTGTACATCGATTTGTTTATTTAAATTTCTGTATTCATATTTTACACATAAAACACTTAATCAAAAAAACAGCAAAAAGAAAGTCCAGCGTTGGGATGCGTTTTTTTTTTTATAGTAAAAAGCGGAGTCGCTAATGGGCTATATATCGTTTCTGGGTGAAAGTTTCGCGATACGGTCGCTTAAAACACCTGCAAAATAAATGACATGTACTTTGCATGTAAATATGTTGTTTTTACGGAATGTCCTTCGATTCAATTTCGAGGCGAACACGAGGAATGCGCAAAGCCAATTGTGATTCCGCGCGCCGATAAGCGATGTGACGATTCAATTTCACGGTTAACATTGATTTCCAAATTAATGCGCGATCTTACGTAAGCGCAATAAAGATAGGCAGTAAAATTATGCCAACGAACTCCGCTAAGTTCAAATGTTATCGTACACGCGGCACCCGCAATTTACAGACGTGCACTTCTACAGTTACCGATACCTAAGATTCGCGAAAAAAAACTACATATATACTGCTACGTACAAGAGAGTCATAAAATGATTTCAGGGTACTGATTCTGTAACTCTTAACGACAGTGTCGGTATCGTTATACTGTCGTTGCGCAGATATTTTATATGGTAAAAAAGCTGCGCAAAGACAATATAACGATATTATCGTTAAGAGTTACAGAATCAGGGAATAACTATTATTTTTATAACAAACAAAAAATAGACCGTGTTTTGCGAAGAGTTTGTTCGTAAATTAGACCAAAAGATCGAGTCTAGACCAATGCGTTCATATTTTTTTTACAAAATGTTACAAAATGTTAAAATTTTCATGTTTCTTCTTACAAGATTTTTATATTTTTTACTGAATTCTCGACGAATGCTATTTTTGAGAAATTGCATCAGTGTCGGTGCCTAGAATAAATGTCTGCTCTTCGCAACACAGAAAAATCCGATGCGTCCCACCGCGAGAATGCAGAAGAATGCAGAAGAGCGGGAGACGCTAGACGAAAGGAAAAGCCGAAAACGAAGGTGATGTTGGCAGTCTTCCAACTCCGGATATATAATTAGAGCTCTCTCGCGTTGGTCTCACTTCCTCTTGACTCGACATCAAGAGACTTTAATTGTGAGCAATTATTTATGTTCATGACTGCGTTCCGCATCATAGACGCGTCGTATATCCCGAGAAGGTAAAATCTTTAGCGAAGGTATAATCGCTAGCAGATTACATTTTCAGTAGACAAATTGTGTACAAAATAAGACGAACCTTACTTTTCTATATAATATATCAAAATAGATCTGTTACACGACGAGACCCAAAAGGTTCTTGAACTCTTAATATAAAAACTTGTTGCTGCAATTAAAGTCGCCAACGACTTAAAATTTTTTAATTTTAACTATAAATATTTCTCACTTAGATTCTCACTTCTATGAATATTTTTACGTACATTTTATTACTAGAAAGTTCAGTAAAATCGTCACAGATACGTGCTACTTTACGCAGTAGCGAGTCTGTTCAAATAAATGCAAATGCAAATGCTTTCACGCAATGTGATGCAAATCGAGCACTGAACGCACGATAGGCGGTAGCGGAAGCGGCGCTTCATAAGTCGCAAAATCTCAGCTGGGCACGTGCAAAAATTTTTACCTACGCAGTGAAAACTTGGCAGAGCGAAGGAGATGCAATCGCAGAAGGCGTGTGCCTCTCGTTTTTCACAGGCGCAAAATTCATCGCGCATTTATTTATAACGTATCCTATTTCTATTTTCGCGTGATATCGTTATTCCCCGCGCGTAAGCGCGGGACCAGCGAGTTTTGGCTGTGCTCTAATTCTCTCCCCTGGATAAAACACGTCACACTATTCTTAGGTGTGGATCTGCGACGAAACTCTCGGCCCCGCGATCGTCTTTTGTAAAATCGCGAAATACTTGCCGCTTGATTTAGAACTTTGTCGCGTGATCCTTATATCTGTCGCGTATTGCATTTGCGTGCAGCATTCGAATCGGATAAAACCGGAGAAAATATATGGGCGAGAATAGTCGCGAATAGAACATATTCCACTTCGAAATCGCCACCAGTGATCGTACGTATAATTATGCTCTTCAAACGCTAAAAACAAATGCTAAATTTAACGCAGTCGACTTTCTTAACTTATCGATAAAGACAATAATAAACAAGACGAAAGAATGGCGCAAGATGTGCAGGCAGTGCATAAACGCATATTGTCGGTTCAAAGTTCGTCCATCGACGGGAAAAAAAGGCCGCTGGAAGTGCGGACAATACATATGCTATTTAAGATGCATATGCTATTCAAGGAGACTGATAATTAGACACTTAAAATAAAGTATTGAAGAGATACACACAAAGTGTCCCGGTTGTCAAGAAAATATTTAAAGGAAATCTGTTTAAAACCTATGAATGATTATTATCGAATTAAATTAATATGAGGCCCATTTTAGCTCGCCGTGAGATCCATGAAAGCTAATAAAAATATCGAGACGAGTTCGACTGCAGCGAATTTCTAAATTTCCATCGTCGCGTTCGTTTCGCTCGCAATAATTACTCGCATCAAAATCTATCTCGGTGCTGCTTAGCACTGGCGCAAATTAGGGACTTGCCAAATACGTCCCGATTCGAGAGACACACGATAACCTCGTGAACGAGGAAGAATGTCATCTTGTGTGCACGTGATTGGAGACATCGATCACACCATTGATTTCACTTGATCAAAAAATCACGCGGTTTAAAAAAAAAAATATCTCTGAATAATGAAAGGAAAGCGGTGTTGAGAACCAGCAAGCGACGCTCGCCAATATGATTTCTGGTTTCGGAGCTCATAATAAGATCGCACGTGGTGTAACGTCAGCCTAATGTCGTTACGCTAAAATATAAGCGCGGGCGAACGCGCTAGAATCTAGAGCGGATAAACGTCGGTGACGGACAATAACGAGTCACGAGCGGCGCGTGGAAGGCGGGTGAAAGAAGCGGAGAAAGAAGAGAGCCAGGACACACGGAGGTGGATCGGATTTCTGGCTGCCGGTGTTCTCGAGAGCATTAGCAGCCACGTCAAAACGCGACGTCCGTTCTCCCGCTTTTCGCTCTTCTGTTCTCAATTTGTTTCCACGCATTTCCGTCACGCCTAATTTGATTGATCGCGCGAGGGATACTTCGTCCGCCTACCCGTTTCTGGCGAAAATTAACTTACCTCGCTCTTGGACGGAGCAACGTAAAATGCAACATATAACGCAGGACAAGAAGAATGTTATAGTCCAACAAATGATCCGAGAAGATAAGAGTAATTTTAACAAAAGTACTAGTTGCAAAAATAGCCGAGATTAAAATAAAGAAATGGGTCTCGCGATCGATAAATTTTAGTGAAAGAAGCGGCGAAACGAAAAATCTCTGCTCTGGAATTTTTCTGCTTAATTTTAAAGTGGCAAAATTAATCTCCCAACGTTTGATTTTGAAGTGCGTTTATGTACAGTCTCCGGTCTCTCCCGTGGAGACACGGGACTGTCTTTCGCGTGTAAATTACAACGAGAGAGAGACATGAGACGGGAAAAATATTTTAGTATACCGCTATATTTAATGTCGCGAGGGTCGATCTTCCCTTTGAGAGGCGCGGAGAGGTGAGGCCTTCCACGTATAACATTATGGTGCGAGAATACCCGAAACCCGAGGAGGCACAGACTGCCGGCATAGGTTTATATTTATACAAGCCGCTCTTCCAGCTCTTATAATAGCGAGCCGGTCTCGCATTCGCGGCGAAATGCATTCATACGTTCTTGCGTTAGGTCAAGCGCTTGCGAGCGTCGGTGTTGAACCTGACTACTTCCTTATATGATTCGCAGTCGGAAATCGCTGCAGCAACGCGGGTATCCACGAGCGATTTTCTGCGAACAACGCGCTGGCAAAAACCGGTCATCCGCAATCGACACTCGAAGAGTCTGCTAATGAATTAAACTATCTTAATTTTTCCAGCAGGAATTGAAATCTGCACGTTTGAGAGACAAAGGAAAGCAAGTCCGAAATTATCGAGACGTTCTGTAATAAAAAGAAATTTAATCATAAAATAAAATCTATGAAATAATATTTTTACGTATAGTAAACTAAAAGCCTGCTTGATCTGGTTTTTTTCTTTAATTCGAATGCCAATCACGAGTTCTCCTTTTTCTTTCAATTCGAATGCTGATCGCTACTCTCTTGCGCGCATTGTCTTACGACGGGAACACTACGAAGAGCACACGCGGCCCAGACTCCTAGTGCCGAGAGCCCGAATCTAAAGCAGACGAGGTCAAGATTGAGATCGCATAAAAATAGTATCGCCAGTTGTCGATTAGGGTCCAATGAACTTGACAATTATAGTTCGCTTCGAATATATTGCACGTCGTTTTTTTTTTTTAATATGCGACTATATATTTACAGTGCATATAATAATTCTTTCAAGATTAAAATTATTTAGTTAATCGTACCTATTTCAGTTTTCGGATAGGTCTCATAATAATAGCATTGCTGGCGCTTTACCATTATATATGTAATTTTACGGCTACACGGCTGTACAATAAATTAAATTAAATTTGCGCTTTTCGAACAATTTCAAGGAAGGAAGATTGACCTAAATCGATATTTCGTTTATTTAAAGTAACTTCTCGATCAATAAGCGGAGCTCTCTTTGGGCAATGAATGATTTTAAGTGGAATCTCTATTTGATTATATTCTGGGTAATAATAATCAATCTGGAGCATCGAGATATGCGAGAAAGATAGATGTTGGAATACTTCATTTCGAGTTATTTCTTGCAGCGGATATTATTTTGCAAAGACGTACGTTTTTCGATTATCCATCACATCCAGTACAATACAATTAATATTCATTACAGATTCCTAGCTGTTAGTAATCTGGATTTTACGTGGAAAATAAATATTTTTCCTCATTGTCGGGGTACAATATCGGTATACGGTGATCGATATGAGCGTTGTACTCGCTCAGGCGTTATCGCATAACTCTCAATTACATATGCTGCAATTGATATATGCCGTCGCGGGACACTCGAGACCGGTGACGAGTCTCGTAGTAAAAACAATCGGGGCTCGTATCCTCCACGAGATAAAATCGCGGCGCGAGATTATCTTAAACGATTCCGATCTTACGCGTCGGAATTTACGGCGCGGCGTTTCCCTGCCCACGTGGACGCGTCGATGGAATTCGAGGTGCGGTACGAAACTGCGTCGGAAATGACAAAAAGAAAAAAAAACACGCGACGGTACCCTAAATATATCGTCGTCGACGAGTGTCGTCGAGTCGTCCGCAGCTCTGACGGATTCTTTCTGGCGCGCATCCGGACACACCTGCGCGGACAATCGGGCGAGGAGTGACGACACTTCGGCGGAGCGGGCGAAAAATCCTCGCCGAAGATACGTCGGCGATTCCGCGGAAGAATAAAAATACGGGAGAACTCCGTGCGCGCCGCGCTCCCGGAGACGCTTGGCAAGGCGCCGCCGAGTTTCTCTCTCTCTCTCTCTCTCTCTCTTTCTCGGCCAGGAATAAACGTCAGAGATACCGCCGACGCTGACTTATCTTGTTTCTCTTGTGCGCGAGGAATCCAGCCTCCGGATAGATAGACAGTTACATAGAAAGAGAGAGAGAGGAAAAAAGAGAAAGAGACGGAAAAAGCAGTGGAACGCAGTTAGATACTCCTCGCGAGCCTCGCCACTTTTCTCGCCAATTATGCGACCAATTAGCGCGACAGCCTGAGTGGAAGTTCGACGGTCTCTTGCGGGGGAATTGGTCTCTAAGTCGGACGACGGTTACCCGGTTATTTGCAGACGTTACTTCAAAGACTTTACACGCAGAGCACGAGAGATTTATATACATATGAGATGTGAAACTTAGATGTAATAATATATCTAATTTAATACGCTGTAAATTTGGCACCTCGCGCCTCCGTTTCTTTCTATACTTAGCGGCGATTTCTGCAATTTAGAGTAAACTCCTCTCTCTTCCCTCTCCCAAATTCGGAGAGTGCTTATCTCGTTCCACTAATTAAAGAGTAAATATTAAAATTTTTGCTCCTGCGGGCAACTACTGTTTATTTTTCCTCCAAAAACCGTGAAAAATTACTTGAAAGTTTCAAATTTGAACTCGACGTTCCGCGCGATTGTTCCTCGATCGATACGCAATCGATTCGGCTTTCGGAGCCGCGCTTCCGAGTCCCGTCCGGACGAGAGGAAAACCAAAACAATCGGGGGCGAGCCGGCTTTACCGTTGCATGCGCATCGGACGATACGTCTACGTCGCACGTGAACGCGACGGTGATCGAAGGATCTGTTCCGCCGCGATCCGGTCGCGTTGCGAGAGGGCAAGAGATTGAGACGCTCGTCGCGAATGGCTCGTGAAGGTCATCGGGTCAAGACCGGCGAGCGACGTTATCGGCCGGCGAACCGAGCCGCGTGTCGAATCTCTCTCTTCGCCGCGATCCGCGGCCGGCGAGCACCCGCCTCCGGATTTTACTTACCGCCCATGACGGCTGGTGTGGCTCGCGGCAGTGACAGAAACTCGAGCTGACCCTTTCTTCTTCCTCCGTGCCCAGAGACCGGGAGACCGAAACGTTCCGTACACACCCACCACCTTGCCGGCCACTCACCAATGGAACAGGAACAGAGTCCGCGTGCACCTCGTCGGCGCCACAACACGAGTGTGTGAAGAGCGACGAGTCGACCGCTGGCGCTCCGCGAGAGATACTGCGATTCCTCCCACCTCCCATCGCCGTCGGTCCACCCCCTCTCGCCCCCTCGCGGCTTGCGGCGAAAACAGATGGTGCTCCGCTTTACCGACTATGGGACGGTATGGGATGATTGCAGCGTCAGCTGTTAATTCCGAGAAGCGTTCTCCGGAGCATTCGGGCGTCGATTTAAATGCCGACCGCGTCTGTAATGAAATAACGAAATATGTTTCTTTGTTCTTTCCTTTTCTTTTCAACGTCCAAATTATATTTTATTTTTAAAAAATGTAACACGTGTATATAGTATAATATAGTTACGTAAAGAACAAGCTGTTATTATTACATCCTGCAGTTACGTCCTGAAGGCTTTTTACTTTTTACGGAAGAAATTGAATTAGGAAATTAGAGGAAAGAGAGAGGAATACAAGAGCTAGAGTAAACGTCATAACGGAGGTAGACGTTCGTGAAGGTATGTATATAAATACGATGTGAGATACCGACGGTCACTGGAGATTATCTCGTGACCCAGATAACCAAGCGTGCGATATCCGCACAAAATACCACTATCGTACTGGTATTGTACTGCCATGAGATGGCGGCGTACGGCGTAACTGTACGGTAACAGTACAAAAAGTATACATGATATTATGATACAAGCAGTACAGCGTATCATCACTGTACCTGTACTGCATATTGTTTAATAAAATATTTTATTATATTTTGCTCCCATAACCAAGAAATATGTAAAATAATTAATATTTGAATAGTTTTCCTATAAAAATAGTAAAATTTAGCATAATTTAGTACGAGACGCTATATCCGATCGCTTTTAACTGCAGATCGTTGATCAAGTTCTGCAGTTTTATATTTGTGTTGTACTTATTTATATTTTATTATCATTATTTTCATTATTGATCATGTTATTCAACGTTAATATTTATAAAAAAATATATTTCATCTTTTTGATAATTTATTAATAAGATCTATCACGATCAATGTGTATAATCCATTGGAGAGTAAATTATAAATATCATCATGAAGTGTCGTGCAGTTCCCGATTACAGAGATTATTTCAGGTTAAGCAACGTTGGTGGCGGTCATGGCTTGGATGGGTGACCGTTGCAGATATTAGGTTGACAGACATATAAAAATATCCCTTTAAGAACATATAGCATCGTGAATTTTTTTTTAATTTATAATTGCCCCGTTTTTATTCTGATTTTATAAATGTTCATTTAATTGTAATTATTTTAATTATTTTTGTCCTATTTGGATATAATGTAAATAACAATCATAACCTTATTTCAAATTTACAGTACGGTAGCCGTATCGTGTACCAATAGTACGGTGTACTGGTAATGTATACCAACGGTACGCACGTACGTGGTAGGTACGATACTGGTACGTATAGTACAACGTACGCTCACCGTACCAATACCGTGGAAATATCTTGTTATCTGGGGACATGTGCGACGAGTTAATTGAATGGACGGGAAATAATACGTACTACTCCGTTGGTTACATAGCGAAATTCTTATCAGCTTCATACGAGCGGCGTAGAGTATTACGTCAATTGGCTCCGAGGCGTCAAAAAGCAAGCGAAATTACGTCGTCGATCGCGCGGCGTAATTGAGAGGCAGAGCAGCCATGCGTGTGTGTGTTACATCACGGAACTGATAATAGAATTGGAAAATTGAATACGCCCGCATTTAGCGCTAAAAGAATATTATACACGAGAAAAGATGCGAGCACGCAGATCATCGACGCGGACTCATCATATATCAAGCTAAAAATTACTATTCATTAATATGTTTCACAGATACGCAGTAAGCGCGAGATATACGTAATTTGCAGTATGCTATCAGCAGATTCGCCGGTTACTCGAACAAAACATCACGGCGGGTTGGCCGCGATCAAGTGACATAATCTGACAGCAGATTGCCAGCTGAAATCGAGTCTGTCCTTTCTCTCTTCGTATAATCGTTCAAAATGACGTACCTTCCGCTGCGCAGTCGATTTGCCATCGGGATTCTGTCGACAGATTCTATTTTCAACTGGCATCCCGTGTCGATTGTGTCGCGGAATATACCTATTTTACAAAATTTGCTCTCGACGGTAGATTTGATGAATCTTTCGTTATTCTCGCGCAATAATCTTTCTATGTCGTCAACGGCGCAATCGGGAGCGGGCTGGAGCGGGCTAATAGAGGGAGTATTATTTATTACCCGACCGATCGACGTCCCGTGACTCCCGTGAGAGGTTTCTCCTCTCCCTCTCCCCCCCCC